CTCGTCAGGAGAAACATCGAGGGGGTAGTGCGGAGCGCCTTGGTCTCTGGGGGGCCCTTTGGGCAACAGCAAACACCAACAACAAACGCTGTGCTACGGCAGGTCTGACACATCGGAGTTTCAGGCCTTGCAATTGATAAGCACACGAAGCGTGTGTATCGTTTTTTTTTGGGGGGGGCTCGCCTTGGATGACGAATCGGACCCATCAAAGAGCGCCGTCACCCAGAATATCGCGCAGTCGGGGAGGCAGTCACCAAGGGCGCGCAGCGTTTCGGTTTCATGCTCGTCAGGGGCAGGATATTCGGCAGGGCGACGTCTATGGGCTCTGTCTGTTTGCGTGATGTTCGGGTTCACTGGATGGCGCCGAAGAGCCTGGGGCGATGGTGCCAGCGGATTTGCGTGGGTCCCCACGTCTGAATCTCACATTGGCCCTCTCTGAAATTGAAATTGGTCCTGTCTGAATTTCAGATTGCCCCCCCTAGGGGGCTGCCCCGAAGCGGTTTGCTCGATACTTCCCCGCTGAATTGATTGGCCCTTTCTGACATTCAGATTGGTCCATTCTGAAATTCAAGTTGGCCCTGGCTAAATTTCAGGTTGGGCCGTTCTCAAATTCACATGTGGGAGCCGCCGCTTCGGCGCCGAATTCAGGCTAACTGCCGTTCCTAAGAAACCCGGCGTGAATTTGTGAGCGCCCCAGAGCTGTCCGCGGAAATACGGGATGAGTTGGACGACGGGCTCGCGTAAGGTATTTTCCATTCATCACGTGATGTTTGGCCCTAGCTTTGAAAAGACAGCGCCCCGCGTCTCCTCCCTCCTTTCCCCCTCCTCCCCCCATCTCCTTACCTCCCCCATGTCCCGTCCGTTAAACCTCTCGCGATGAGCGCGGCCCCATAGGGAACTCCACCGAAGGCCCTGGTGGCAGGGTCCAGACATGGGCTCCGCACTTATTTCGGCGCACCCCTGACGAGGACCGCGGCCCCATGAGGAACCCCACCGAAATCCTCAGCGGCAGAGTTCGCACGTGGGCTCCGCATCGGTTCCGGCACCGCATCCGTTTCGGCGCACCCCTCGCGATGACCGCGGCCCCATGGAAAGATCCACCGAAGGCACCAGCGGCGGGGTCCGCACGGGGGCTCCGCACCAATGCTCGGCACACCCCTCGAGAGGATCGTGGCCCCAGAGGGAGCTCCACCGAAAGCCCACGGCGCGGGGTCCGCACGCGGGCTCCGCACCAATTCCCGCGAACCCCCCATCACCAGAATCGCGGCCCCACAGGGAGCTCCACCGAAAATCCCAGCGGCAGGATGAGCACGTGGGCTCCGCACCCACTTCCGGCACACCCCGCACCAGGATCCTGGCCCAGAATTGGGAGCTCCACCGAAGGCCCAAATTGGCAGCTTCCGCAGCACGCGGGCTCAGTGGCACATCCCTCGCGAGGATCGTGGCCCCGCAGGGGGGGCTCCACCACGGCGCAAGACCAGCGCGCGCGCGCGCCGTGGCACGCGCGCGCGGCGGCGCCTTGCTGTTTCCTTCGTCGGGACGCTGAAACGTGAAGGCTCGGCCCTGGGATACCAGCGGCCATCCTCGAAGCAGAGGGCCGCGGCGACCCTCTCTGCGAGGCCGCGGCGTCGGGCTCCCTCTGCTCCCAGCGCCACGCGACAAGCGCCGGTGAGTACCCTCTCTTGGCTGGCGGGCGGCGCGGGGGGACAAGAAGGAGGAGGAGGACGTCCCGCCCTGCCTCTTCATATCCTCACGCGTTGCCCTTCCTCCCGCGTCTCTCATTTGCCCCTTTTCGCACGGACCCCCCGCGGTCTGCCCGCGTTTCAATTTCGGCCCCAGCGTGGCCGACGCCTCACGGAAAGCGCGGCCCCCGATCGCACGTGTTGCGATCGCGCTGAAACGTTGCGGCCAGGCGAGTGAACGCGCAGTTACCCCTCAAGGTCACCGTGGCGCGAGGTGACGGCGCGTTGCCCGCGTGCCTGCAATTAGGCACCCACGATAGAATGAAGCGCTATTTGGTTGCAAGATGTGGCCCTTCTTACCTTCGTTCTCAATCGGCGGCCGCGCGATGTCGCAAACATGAAATCGTTGGGATACTTGTTTTTCACGTTTGGGGCTGTTGTGCGATGAAGACGCTGTGGCTTCGTGGGATCTGCGGATGGGCCAAATACTCGGGGCCCAACCCTTCAGATGCCCGCGCGGAACGCCAACAAATTATGTGCAAGCCGCTTTTATCGGGTCGGGCGAAAGGGGGGGATAGCAAAGGGGGGGTTTGAGAGTCAGCTCACGTAGCTGATTTTCCAGGCGCCTCCCGGCGCCGGAGGCGGCTATGTATCGAGGAAGAGGCCCCTCGGTGAAGCCGAAACCAGCTGCATGCGGCAAATTTCGTCACCCCCCCTTTCCCAATCCCCCCCTTTCGCCCGGCCCGATGTTAAGACTGGAGCCGCATCGGAGGCATCGAAAAGCGAGCGCCGCCGGCCCCCCGCAACCCGGGAGGGCTAGGATCGGGATAAATCGCTCCAGAGCGTTCCGGAGCGCTCTCAGAGCGTTCCGGAACGCTCTGGAGCGGCCGCGGCGCCCAATACATCCTCCAAACCCGCCGATTCTCAGAGATTTCGAGCTATCCCGATCCGATTTTGTCCCGATCTTCGCGTCGTTTGATTAAGACTCGAGCCGAGCCGCATCGGAGGCATCGAAAATCGGGGATGGACAGACCTCCCTTTAGTAAAACGTGGTTTCGTGACAACGACCCGAGGCCAAAACCTGGCGGGCGCAAGCCTGCAACATAGCGGCCACGGCGCCCTCTCGAGAACCGAAAACGGACAATTCACTAATCGACGTGTCACTGCTGGGGGTTCTGTCCACCCCCGAGAAAAGCGAGCGCCGCCGGCCCCCCCCGCCACCCGGGAGGGCGAGGCCCGCGGCTCCTCGCGCCGGCGCGGGGAGGAGGGGGCGAGCGGTGCCCTCGGCGCGGGCTCCCTCCCGCCCCTCGGCGCGGGCGCCTGGCGTTCTTGCGCCTCCTCCTCCTCCTCCTCCTCCTCCTCCTCCTCCTCCAACTCCTCCTCCTCCTCCTCCTCCTCCTCCTCCTCCTCCTCCTCCTCCTCCTCCTCCTCCTCCAAGAATGGGTACCATGCCCAACAGCAAATGTTGTCCCAAACCAACAGCGGCCGCTGTTGGGCAGGCGGCCTTCCGTCTCGAATGGACGCAGGCCGCGGCGGCGTGGACAGCGAATCCTGTTCAGAATGAGCAAGAACTGCTGTCAGGCATCGTACCCATTCTTTCCGTGCCCATCTCGGGCGTCCAGATCCGTGGCAGCGCAGTGGTCTGAGGCTGCTCGAAGTGCCACCGGCTCGAGGTGCCTCCCAGCTCTTCGCTCCAGGTCGGTGCCGCTGAGGCCCCCTGGGCCCTGGAGCTCGCGCCCCTCTGTGGCGAGTCATGGGGGTCGGGAGGGTGGTAGGATTGCAAAAAAACGGAGGATTGCAAAAAGGGATGCAAGAAAACCTAAGAATTGCAAACAAAAACCCTTTTTTGCAATCCTTCGGTTTTTTTTGCAATCCTAGTTTTTTTTGCAATCCTTCGGTTTTTTTGCAATCCTTCGGGGTTGACCCAAGTGGGGTAAGACAAGTGCCCCAAAGCGGCCTGTTCGGACCCCCTCTTGGGCACACGCTGGCTTCACGAAGGGCCCTGAAGGGCCCCTTCCGGACAATTTTCTTCACCCCCCATTTGGGTCACCCCCCATTGCCACCCGTCTGAGGGGTGGCCTCCCGTGTGGTGTCATGGGCGAGACCGCAACGGCCGCCATCCAGAGGCCGCTTGGATGGTGTCCGAGTAGGCGGTGGGGTCGGAGGGTCGCGCCGCACCGCCGATGCATCGGCGATGCACCGGCGACGTGGGCGATGCACTCGCGACGCATGCGTCGAGAAACTCGGGCTCCACATCGGCTCGCCTCGCCTGTACACCGGCGATGCAGCGCGATCCTCCGACCACGTCTGCTCGGACCCCAATCTGCTCGACAACAAGAAACGGGTCTTACCCGACATGGCATAGCCACCTTCCGCGGTGGCTCACGCGGTCCGTGAGCGCGGCCCGCTGCATTGGAAACGAGGACGCTCACGCGCGACCTTGCGCGTGCAGCTTACGCGCCACTGTCGGTGAAGAAGACAATGTACGTTTTTCTGCGTCGCGCTTCTCATCTTGCTGGCTCGATTCGGAGCTAGTCGACGCAAGTCGACGCAAAATCGACGCGAAACTGGCGCCTTCTCATCGATTACCAGATGCCAGCGCACGCCAATCCACCCTAAACACGGAAATACGAGGGCACACAGGGCTCCCACGAGTTGCTACCCAGCTCGCCACAATGGAGCGACGAAGCCGAGCGCTTCTCTTTTGCTCGGCGGCGCCTTGCACCTCAGCTGCGGTCGTGGCTACTGCAGCGCTGCTGCGGTGCAAAGTCGGCACTGCGGCGGCAAGGAAGGCTGGGAGGGAAGGAGAGGGCCAGAAGCGTCGAAAAAAAGACAGGCCGCACGCGAGATGCCACGGTGGCCGCCGGCGCGGCACGCCACATTGGCAACGAGGGAGCTCACGCGCCATCTTCCGCAGGCAGCCTGCGCACGACTGCTCGCGCAGCCGACCCCGTCTTCCCTCGCCGCTCACTTGAGAGGGAATGCCAGGGGGCGGGGAGAAGGCGTCGAGCTTGCATCGGCGATACATCGCCGACAGATCGGCGGCAGGCCCCCGATAGCAGATCCGCACGTCCCTCGGCGGAGTGGGCTGTCAGGCCCCTCTGAGCGATGAGCAGGACATGGGGGGTCGATGCTTTCCCCTCTGTTACTATCCCCCCCTGACGTTGCCCCTCACTCCACGGTTCCGATGCTCCATTCCACATCGTCGTTTGACGGTCCTCGGGCCCAGCACGGCATCGAGAGGCCCCACCGTGAGACAAGGATACAGACGTCGCGATCTGGCGGTAACGAGGAGGAGGGCAGGGGGGGAAAGAGCGCCCTCGTCATGCCCTTCAGGGATTCCAAGCACTCGCTCAGCTTCTTCTCGCTGTCGGCGTGGAGCTGCGCTGTGCTGGCGAGAGGGCGGAATCGTTCCCCACCCGGCACGTCGGCATGTTATAACCTTAAAGAGAAAGCTCCGGACCCACCTCGCCCCCACCCATTTGGAAGCCCGAAATTGGTACGGGCTGCCCCAAGCCAACAGCGGCCGCTGTTGTGCAGGCGGCCATCTGCCTCACATGGACAGAGTCCGCGGCGACACCGACAGCGAGTCCGGTCAAACTGAACAGGAACTGCTGTCGGTCTTTGTACCCACTCTTTCCGTACCCGCTTCGATCGTCCCGAACCTAGAGGCCTTCCAGAAGGGCTCCGAGTAGGTGGGGTCGGATGATCGCGCCACATCGCCGATACGTCGACGATGCATCGGCGACGCAACGGCCCATGCACCGGCGACGTCGGCGATGCATCGGCGACGTCGGCGTGGAGAACATTGGGCCCACACTCGGCCGCATCGCCGCCGCATGGCCGATGCATCGGCGATGCGGCGCGGTCCTCCCACCCCATCTGCTCCGACCCCATCTGCAAGGGCTCCCAACTTCGCGCTTCGCGCTGCGCGAAGCGCGAAGTGCGAATAACTTCGCGCTCTCGCGCCGCCTCCCAGGGGCGAAGAGGAGGATGAGGAGGAATCGGAGCCGAAGCGCGAAGCGCGAAGCGCGAATAACTTCGCGCCCTCGAGGGCGCCCTTGCATCTGGGAGGCCCGGAGGCATATCGTGGCCGCCAGGGTCCCGCGATGCCGGTGGCCCGCGGGGGGACCCCGCCTCGCTGCCGCCCCACGCCGAGGGGCGCCGCGGCCGCGCAGCGAGGCGAGCCCGACCGCGCGCAGCAGCAGCAACACACAGCAACACCAAGCACACGCAGCAGCAGCACACAGCAACACCATAGATGTTCAACGCACATGACCGGCACTCGCCATGAACACGTACCAATAACACACGTCAGTACAATGCAGCGACAACAGACGTCAAACAGACACACACACACATTAGAAGCAGACATGCGTGGCAGGCGCAGCGATCATATTCAAACGTAATGCCACGCACCAATGCATGCATCACCCACTGACATCCGAAACAGACAACAACGAAATGCATCAACACACACACACACATCAATTTCATGCAGTAGCACTGACGCTGACGCCGTCTGACACTGACGCTGCCCGTAAAGGAGTCCACGCGAGGGGACTAAGCGGGGCAACGACAAATATCCTGGCGAAGGACCCAACCACATGGAATCGTGAATACTGCATTGTGGGCACGGCTGTCGGTGGAACCACGAAACGTGACTGTGGAAAACGGGCGTGTGCTGTGCCCAAATGGGCGGGAAATCGCATGTGGACCGTGCAACTGGGGCCTTGGGTGGAGCTCCCTATGGGACCACGAAGCGTGTGGTGTGTGTGTGTGTGTGTGTGAATGTGTGTGTGTGTGTGTTCGTGCCCAAATGGGCGGATAACCGCATGTGGGCCCTGCCACTGGGGCCTTCGGTGGAGCTCCCTATGGGGCCACGAAGCTTGTGAGGGGTGTGCCCACATGGGTGGGGAGCCGCATGTGGACATTGCAACTAGGGCCTTCGGTGGAGCTCCCTATGGGGCCACGAAACGTGTGAGGGGCGTGCCGAAATGGGCGGGAAAAAGGCCTCCACACGGCCCACGAGGCCTCCAAGACGCTCCAAGAGAACTCTAAGAGGCCTCCCAAGAGGGCCCAAAGAGGCCCAAATCATTGATAATCCTATGGTGCTTGAAGGCGTTTGGCTTTATCGCCTTTTTGTTCGGCTTCCAGATGCTCCCAGACGGCCCTAGAGGCCCCCAAGATCGTCCCAGGCCGGCCTTAGAGGACCCCAAGGCGGCCCTAGAAGCGCCCAAGACGGCCCAAGAGGACCCCAAGGCGGCCCCAGAAGGGGCCCAAGAGAGGGAACACGATCCGACAATCCGAGCATTTCGCCCAAAGAGGCACCCAGGAGGCCCCAAGAGGCGCCCAAGAGGCCCCCAAGAGGCCCCAACAGGCCCCCAAGGGTTCCAAATGAGGCCCCAAGAGGCCCTACAACGGCCCCCAAGAGGCATGTTAACTGCCTCCAAGAGGCCCCCGAGAGGCCTCCCACGAGATCCCAACGAACATCAGATAGGCGTCATACCCACAACCCAGACACGGAGGCGGGATGGGCCGAAGGTCATTCGATAGTAGACTCTACGCACCAGATGTATTATATCTCCGTTCCCCGTGGCTCTCCTCATCATCAGCAGCATCAACCTGTCACTTCAATTCCACCTTCTTTTACCCAGCCTGTGCATGTGTTTCCTCCTTGTTGCTATGTTGCTTCTCTTCTTCCTCCTCCTTCTCCCCCACCCGTCCGCTATCTGACTTGCACGATAGTTGGGTGATAGAGGGCTGAGGGCTTGTTAGCTGTCTGGTAGCCTGTCGGATCTCTTCAAGTCCGACCCCACTCCACAACCCGCCTAACGCAAACAATGTCACAACCCTCCCCATGGCTTGGTTCCAAAACGGCGAAGACCGCTTCAAGACGGCTCCAACATGTCACAAGACCGGCCCAGACCCGTCCAGAAGGCCCAACAACCCTCCCAACTTGACCCCAATCGGCCCCAACATATCACAAGGCGCATCCCAAGAAGCAACCAAGGAGGCCTCACGCAAAACCCTTGGAGTCAAAAAACAATGAACGGTCCAAGGGATCCAAAGGAGTCTTGCTTCCAGGGCAGCGCGTCAGAAAGCATCAACAATCGCCTAGCACACGGCCCAAATCTGTACTCGAGAAAACCAAAAGGAGGCCCCGACCAAGGAGGCTTCAAGGCGACCCCAAACGTATGCCGATACGTCCTCAACGCTGGTTAAACCGGGCCTCTTGCGGAGAGATTGGTAGAGCCATCGCGCCCCACACAGCTCTGTGACCCGCGACTTCCAGCACGCGAGGGCCCCAAGAAGGTCTAGGTGCTCCCAGCAGCGAGCACAACAAAGACGTACGGTCCCAGCCACATAGACGAGCTGAGAGTACGCGCGCAAGTTCACGAGGCCACCCTCGTGTCACGAAAACTCGCGGAATGCGCTCTCTCGAAACACATCTGAATTCATGTACGCGTACGTCTTTGCCTCGCTTCTGACTCACGACGCCCCGAACAACGCCCCAAGAAGCCCCCAATGTGAAGGTCGAGTGAGAGAACAAGGCTGCGGACACAGCGCTTGTGCGCTTGAAACGTACGCCAACCCTGACGCGGCCCCCGACTGGAACGGCTCTTGGACCCAACGGCCTTCTTGCTGCGCTGGCGAGGTGACGGCGGAGTGTGGCCGGGGAAGCCCGATCTTCGCTGAGGATTACAATGGGCCCGTATCACAAGGATGCGCGATAAGGATGCAAGGACCTTGGGCGCCCATTTGAAGCTTTTCGATCGGGGCGCGGCCAACCAAAGTGGTCAAGGATGGACCGAGCAAGCAAGGATGCAAGGTACCCTTGGGAAGGTCGCCCCTATGCGGGTTGACTGCAGCTCCAAACCGCTCCACCACGCCATCCTGACAGAGGGCCCCCACCCGGAGATCCCAAGATGCCCCCCATCTCCCCCTCCCATGGGGTCCCGATACGGTGCAGGGACGGACCTTACGGTGACCTCGGAATCCCCAACTCCCTCGACGTCAAGCCCAGCCGTGGCCCATGGCCACGCTCCTCAGGAGGTCACGAAACACATGATCGGGGGAGGGTGGGTAGCGATATCAGAATATGTCCCTCCTCCGCCCAATCCCCCCAAGGCAGCGTCAAACGTTAAGTCCCCCCCTCTAGTCCCCCTTCTCCAACCCTCGCTCCGCTCATCCTCCCGTGCCCGCCCGAGCCCCCTGCCTGGAATGCGATTTCCTCGCGCGCGCTCCCACATTACTCCTCCTCCTCCTCCTCCTCCTCCTCCCCCTCCTCCTCCTCCTCATGCTCCTCCTCCTCCTCATGCTCCTCCTGAACCCACCCTCCTTCATCTTTCCACCTCCTCCTCCTCGCCCCCTCGTCCTCCCTCCTCCGAGGTCTCCCCGCCCCCTTACCTCGTCCTTCATCCCCCCATTCCTCGCCCCCATCCTACCGCCCCCATTACTCCTCAGCGGATGTGCTGCATGAGCCATCCTCCCTCCCTCCCCCCCCCTCGATCTCTCTCTCTCTCTCTCACACTCCCTCCCTCCCTCCCCCCTCCCTCCCTCCCTTCCTCACTGACCTCATCCCTCATTCCCTCCCTCCCTCCCTCCCTCCCTCCCCCGCTCCCTCACTCCCTCGCTGCCTCCCTGCCTCCCTCCCTCCTCCCTCAGTCCCTCGCCCCCCGCGGTGGCAGCCACAAGGCGCCCTGGCCTGCTGGAGCTCGCCATCGCGTGCCCCCAGTCCCCTGGTGGACGGGGTGGGCGGGATGGGGGAGCGGCGAGGGTGGGAACGGGAGGTGAGGAGACGTGGATCGGGAGGAGAGGAGGAGGGACGGAGAGAGGAGGAGAGGCGGGAGGACTCCTCTCCCCTCCTCCTCTCCTCTCCGCTCCAGTATCTTTTCTCCGAGGGGAGGCAGGGGAAGCGGATGGGGAGAGGTGGAGGGGAGGGGACGCCGGGCGGGGGGACCGGGGTGAAGACACCAGGCTGGGCCCCACAGGCGAAGGGGGGCCGGAGGGGAGGGGAGGGAAGGCGAGGGGAGAAGGTAGGATGGGGTGCGGGGCGAGAATAGGGGGGCGGAAGGTGAAAAGACACAGAATGGCGCCTCCTCCTCCTCCTCCTTCGAGGAGAAGCGGACGATGATGATGATGCTGACGACGACGACGAAGACGATACCGATGATACTGATGATGTTGCTGTTGGTGACGGTAATGGTGGTGATGGTGGTGATGCTGATGTTGATATGATGATGCTGAACATGAGAATCATGATAATACTGCTGATGATGACGGTGCCGATGGCGATGATGATGCTGCGGATGCTGTTGCGGATGCTGTTGCGGATGCTGTTGCGGATGCTCGTGATGATGGTGGTTATGCTCATGATGCTAGTGATGGTGATGGTGGCGATGATGATAATTATGCGAAGTATGATGATGTTGCTGATGATGATGGTGACAATGACGATGACGATGAAGACGACGACGACAACGACGACGACGATCATGATGATGATGCCGATGATGATGGTGATGATGAATACGCTGATGATGATTATGAGGAGAAGAAGGCGGAGAAAGAGGATAAACAGATAAGGCAGGACGGCGCAAGAGGAGGCGGAACACACCCAATCCTAGCTCACTCCGAGAGCCGCCGTAGGACGAAGGGAGAGATCAGGGAGAATAGAAGTTAAACGGCGCAGCACGGCACAGCAAGGGAGTGGAGGGTGTGGGGGCTGCTGCGGCAGCGATGCGAGAGATGGGAAGAAGCGAGGGCAGGTGGGTGAGAGAAAAGAGGAGGGGAGGAGAGGAGAGAGGACGAAGCGGGAGAGGAGGAGAGGATAGGGCAGGAGAATGAAGAGGGCATCGAGTGGGGGTTGGGGGTGACATGGGGGAGAAACTTTGCACGCCCAAAGTGGGGACGGAACATATGGGCACGATGCCCAACGGCATCGCCTATTCATGTGGAACACGAACGGCTGTCCCTCGGAACCCTTCTGACGACAACATTAGCCGTGTCGACCGCAAGTAGATCTAGTTGGATAATACGGGCTGTCAAATGGATGAGAATCGCTAGCACAATGGCAAGATGTGCTGTTCGATGGGCCCCGAAAGACAACATATCTTGTTCCACATAAACAGGCGCTGTGAGGCATCGTGCCCTTATATCCCGTCCCCATTCTGGACGTGCAGAGAGAAGGGAGAGGGTTGGACACGACAGGCGAAAAGGAGAGCGGGGATCCCTCCTTAATGCTATCCATGGCTCCTCTCTTCCCCGTCTCCTCGACACCTTGACCTCATGATTTGATTTTTCATCCTGATGAATCGCCACTTGACCCTTCACTGTCCAGGGGGGGGGCCGTAAACGGCTTGCAGACGCCGGGAAGAACGGAACTAGGCCTGGGTTGAGGATCGACTCCCTCGATAATCTCCGAGAGGCATGGGTCCCGGGCCTCCAGGGTCGGCAGCTCAACTCTGGGACCTGCCATGGGGCACATCCATGGCCATAATTTCGAGGGGAGTCCCGAACAGAGAGCCACAAACACGGCACACGCATAAACTTTTGACGGTCCGCGCAGATTTCTTGGATCCGCGCTGGACCCCCTCCCTGGCGCGCGGAGTGCGCCGGCAAAAACTCATGTTTGTGGTGCTCTTGATGGACGAATTCTCCACCACCGCTACCACAGGTAGCAGAGGGAGGAGGAGGAGGAGGAGGAGGAGGAGGAGGAGGAGGAGGAGGAGGAGGAGGAGGAGGAGGAGGAGGAGGAGAGGGAGGAGGAGAATGAGGAGGAGGAGGAGGAGGAGAAAAAGGAGAAGGAGGAGGAGGAGGAGGAGGAGGAGGACCTCCTCATCCTCCATTCTCCTCCGTCCTACACATGGTAGCGGTGGTGGAACATTTGCCCGTTCGTTTTTGTCCTTCGTCGGTCCATCCGCGACGACAGGAAGCCACCCAGGGGCCTGGCGCCGCCCCCCCCCCCCCGGACACTCCAGGGGCGCGCTCGGACCAGAACTTCGAGGCCGACGCTTGCCGCGACGACGAGGGCGCCCCCCGAGGCCGCTTGCCGTCGCTCGGACGTCCATATCCGGTGCATGTTTGCGGTTTCGTGCGTTTTTTTTGCTCGATGGTCCAGGATGGTCCTCGATGGCCCTCGCCGAGAAAAAATGCACACGTCCGAGCGATGCCAGGGGCCAGAACTGCATGCCCCCACGCCTGCGGGCAAGGCTCGTGTCCACATCCACCAGATCCACTGCAGCTTGGAGTTTCGGGTTCCCTTCCCCAGGAACCCGAGGCGCACTGGACATGGATAAGAATCTGCCCCCCACTCAGAGGCTCGTTTTCTGTCCATCTGCAGTGCGCCTCGGCCCTGCGTCGCCACATCCCAGGAAGTCCCAGACGCACAGGATATGGATAAAGTAGTGCCCGCCAGCGTCCCGACCGCCGGACCGCAAGGAAGGATGAGCCACTGCGTAAACATATTTTGTTGGAGGTCCGCGTGGACTCCGTCGACCGGCGGAACTCCGAAAACTCACGTTTGCGCAGCTTCCTGTTCCTCTACACCATCTTCGACTCTCCTTCTCGACCCAGACGCTCAACAAGCCTCGAAATCCAGCCCTCGAAACTTGTTGCGCGTCTGAATCGACGAACAGGCCTCGCAGGCCTCAACCCTGCTCCCTCCTTAAACCCAAACACCCACCAAGCCTCGACCCTCGATCCGCGAATCCTGGGTCCTTCGCCCTCCGCCCACTTCCCGTTTCCGCGCGTCCCTCGTGGCTGGTCGTCGTCGGTCGTCGCCCGTCGTCGTCGCCATCGACTTCGCGGTCGCCGTCGCCGCCGACCCCGCCACGAATCGCGGCGGGGGCGGCGGCGACGGCCAGATCGCCGATCTCTGTTGCGACGCCGACGCCTGGATGTATGGGGCCTCCCTCAAAACATCGCCCCCCCCCCCACCTCCTTGACTCGCCGAGCATCACTTCGGGGCGGACCGAGCCGTGGCCGCGAGGGCGTTGCAGGGAGGCCCGAAGGTGTCCGCATCGCCCCCGTTCATCGATTCGCGCAGCTCGCTCCTCGACACTCCTTCGCAGAGGTCCGATGCTCTACGGGGGCCCCAAAAGTCAGGGGGCGAATCCCCCCGTCTGCGTTTGAAGATATGCTGTTCCGTGGGGGGCGGAGCGCGTGGTTTGCCTGTGGCTGATATCGGCGCGGTATACCCACTGTGTTTTTGTTTTTCTCGGCGGCGCGTCCCCTCTCCTCTTTCTCTTTCTCTTTCTTTTTTTCTCTCTCTCTCTCTCTCTCTCTCACTCTCTTTCTCTCTCTCTCTCATTTGTTGTCTCTCTCTCTCTCTCTCTCTCTCTCTCTCTCTCTTCTCCGTCCTCCACCCAGACATCCACCTAAGCCAAGCCTAAGCCTCAGCCTGGCCTGTCTTGAGGCCCAACCAGAATCTACGTTTAGTCCGGCGGGCGCTGACCGAGCGGATGGGCGCCGACGCGCCGCGCCCAGGACAGGCCGCCTGCACCAAATTCAGGGGGACGTAAGACCTGGGTACAGGGGACTCGGAAATCCCCGACGAGGTCGTCAAAAAAATGACGAGGCCGAGCCTGCATTTTGACAAGGCCTCCCGCTGCAGACATCCCACGAAACTCCTCCTCGTCAAAATCCGAGGCGCGGTCGTCAAAAAACGATGGCGAACCCGAGTCCTGGCAAAACCGGGTCTTACGCTCCCCCGACAAATTAGGGGGGGAGGGGAGGGACCCCACGACCCCGGCCAGCACAGGAGGGTGCGCGGCAGCGGGATGGTGGGGGGCGTTGCCTCCGCGAACGTCATAGGCAACGCTCACCTCAGACCTGGAGGTGCCACTGACCACTCTGTACACCCTAGCGGAACGGGTGGGCCCAAGCAGCACGGCTTGCCCACCGTAGCGGGTACTCTGAAATTCCCCGGCCTGACGGCCCCAACCAGAATCTAGCCGAAGCCGAACCAAAAGCCAAGCCCCAGTCTAGCCTCAGCCTCTGGATCAGCCTAGCCTAAGCCTGGCCAGAGCCGAAGCCGAAGCCGAAACCGAAGCCGAAGCCTCAGCCCAAGCTTCAGCCGAAGCGTTGCCTAAGCCTGGCCTGGCCCTCAGCCTAAGCACCAGCCCGCGCCTAGCCTCAGCCTCAACCTGGGCGTCAGCATACGCCAGCCAAGCCGAAACCCCAGCGAAGCCTGAGCCTAGCCGAAGCCCAGCCTCAGCCTGCACATCAGCTGAAACCGAACCTGAACCTCGGCCAAACCTCAGCCTAAGCCTCGGCGCAAGCCCCAGCCTTAGCCCAACATGCGGCTAGCCTGAGCCTCCGCCTAAGCCTCAACCGAAGCTCCAGTCTCAGCCTCAGCCCAACATAAGCTTCACCTTCGGCCTCAGCCTAAACCTCGCCTGGCCTAAGCCTCAGCACCGGCCTACACCTCACTCGAAACCGAGCCTGAGTCCCAGTCAGCCCTATTATTGCTACTACAATGCTTGGGTACTACTACTACTACTACTACTACTACTACTACTACTACTACCACTACTACTACTACTACTACTACTACTACGACTAGTACGACTACTACTACTACTACTACTACTACTACTACCACTTATTCTACTACTACTACTACTACTACTGCTCCTGCTACTGCTACTGCTACTACGACTACTACTACTACTACCACTACTACTACTACTACTACTACCACTGCTGCTACTACTACTACTACTACTACGACGACTAC